CTAAATTAGTATCTCAAATATAATTTCACTTGAATATTTTAGTAGAAATTGGTTAGTTTATTGCGATCGTACGAAGATTGGTTAAAAGTTAACCATTCTTCTTTAAATAGAACACTATGGTGATTTTTGAAGGTACCCTTAATTAGGACACAAGGCCAAATGTATAGGGTACCCAATGAAGATCGAACTCACTATTCAGTCGTAATTGTTCTAACGAGACAAGGTTGCTAAACCTTACACACCGTCGAGGTGCCCTACAGCACTTTCGGCAATGATTTTGAATAAATACAAAATATCAGGATTTCTCATCTGATCAACAACATAGTCTCTTTCCTTGATAAGGATTTGTCAAAAAGTAATGCCTGCTCTTCGTGAATTCAATTAGATTTATTGGAAGCACCATTTGGCAAAATGAACACTGGGACCCTAACAGTTGGTACCACCCCGGCTCGGAATTTCAAATTTAATTTTCAGCATAATTTAAACTGTCATAAACCATCGTCTGACGGCCGATGAGAAAGAAAGATGCATTCTGCTTTAATTACAAATAGTTGAATTGAAGAAACATCCAATGTATAAAAAATGAACACAGTTCATTTAAGAAGTCTGAATATGTTTCACAAAACATATGTTTTCTCAGTTGTGATATGGGTGTTAGTCAAAAATTAATTAATCATTCTGATTTGATTTGTTTATTTAACGGCATATCAACCCCTTATAGGTCATTCAATGACGAAATTTAATTTTCTCGAGAGCTTTGAATTAATAGAAATATACATGTTGTTCTGATTTCACAGTTGAATACATGGTAGATGATAGTTAGCTTTGTACATCTACATGTTTGTGTGAACATAATTACTAAAGGCAATGATATGCGTTTTTTATGTTGTAGTTTTGTCAAAGTTATATTTTGGAATACGGTTTGATTTCTTTAAGAAATTGTAGGATATTATATGGATTAAAGACATGAAAGAGTTCGTTCATGTTAGTTGATGTATTGTTGGTAATTTTACTATAAATAGGAATTGTTGATATTTTTTAAATGTATTGCGGGTATTTTTACTATAAAGAAATATTTTTATTCTTTCATGGTGCTTTGTTCTTGTTTGGGGGTCTCTATTTGCCTATAGCTGGGGCTCTAAAAGTTGCTACCAACCCGGGTCAAGTGGGACCTGAAAGCAACAGCAATTATGAGGTGATTCCACACTCGTCAAAACCTTCAATCTTCAGATAAGAGGTTTTCTGCCGGTTGAAGTTTATAGTCATACATAAGACTTATGAGTGTGTCTCTTTATTTACACGAGACTTGAATTTTGAAGAAGACAAAGTATAATAAAATGAACAAAAACGTCTCCTAAGAAGAAATATAGTCTTAAATATAGATTCCTTCCTTCTCAGTTGTTGCACACACGTTGGTTAAAGAGTGTGGATATCTGTGTTAATAATGCAACTGTATATGATTGCATTTCCAAAATTCTTTTGATTTAATTTGATTGATTCGTTTCCTATCGCTCACCAATTCTTTGCAGGTTATTTAAAGTCAGAATGTATTTTTAGATTGTATAATATTTTGGGGGTATAATAATGGGTTTATGATAGAAGTATTATTAATTAACACATAGCTGGGGGAGAAGAGGTGGATTGATACCTAATCAGAATTCGATAAACAACCAAGAAATTATAATGTGGATATAAATTAGGGGATCAATTCTATATTACAATCAATATATAAACTGATACCTCATTTTGTTGCCCTGTTAATTTCTATACTTTTATATTCCAGAGAACTTAAATAAATCTAAAAGACGTGTCTGTATAGCTAATCAGTTTTTCGTGATTGATTTGTTTTCTACAGCTTATCAACTATTTTTAGGTTATTTAAAGCGAGAAAATATTTATCCATTGTAAGATTTTTTTTAGATAATAATAGTTTAGTAATACACGTCTTACTAATTAACCCATAGTTAGGGAGAAAAAGCAGTGGATTCATACATTTCCTAGGTGCATTGACGCGTAAGTGTTTATAACGAACTGGAATAAGAGCTCGGCTCTGCGATTACCAATTCCGAACCATTATCCATTGCACCACCATCCTATTTAAGCTTACGGCACCTGGTATTCCTAAACGCTCGTCATCTAGCGACTGACCAGGCTTGACGTTGCTCAACGTCGATCATCATAAGGGGATTAGGTGTTAAAACGTGACATGGCCGTGATATAGTCACTAGATTGGTGACTGTTTCATTTTACCAGATGTTGTAAGCTTGGATGTACGGGTGATATTATGAATAACGACTCAGAATGAGAAATCGGAGAGCCGAGTTTGAAATTCACTTGCAAGCAGATAGCCTAAAGAAAGTTGTGAATCCACCTCTTCTCCGCTCAGCTATGGGTTAAATAGTAAGACTTGTATCTGAAAATCATTATTATTTCCAAAAGAAGTGTTATTCTTACAATACCAAAATATGTTTCGATTTTAAATAACCTATAAACAACGTAAAAAAAAAAATCAATCATTTCTAAGGACGTTTTTTGTCAGGTGATAATCGACCATCTTCATTTATTCAGTGAAACCAAATTGCATCACAGTGATCCCCTCCATCTCACAATTGTGGTTCATAGCAGTGAAGCGCATTGGCTTTCATGTTCCTTTTGCACCGGGGATATTGAGGTTACCCCCGTTCCTCCTCTCACAAGTTAAAGAGAAAGGAACTACAGGGCAGCAGGTGGTTTGAATTATCGAATAGTGCTTTGAATAACTGTGGGGAAGAGATGGATTCATGCCTTTCCCATGTAAGTGAATGAAATGAAAATTTTTAAATGAATTTAACTCGACTGGCATTCGAACTCGTTTCTCCGATTCTTTAATCTGAGCCAATATCCATTACTCCACTGGTACTTCCACATATGATCGATGCATATACGAAATCATTCACTCACGGAACTTCGTCATTTTTTAAAGTATCTTCGTTACAGTTAATGAGAATGATCGAAACAGAGACGTTTAGAGAACTGTAACGTATTCGTCATCGTTGGCTTTATGTGGTATCCAAGAATTTAATTTCTTCTTATCTGATCGCTTGCTTTATGTCGTTGATGACTACTAAATAGACCAATTATTGCATGGAAGAGCCAATGATATTGACTGCATAGTAATGTTAGTGAAAGACGAGGTCGATTTTTGTCAAGCCTTTCTTTCTTGTCGTCTGACTTCTTCCCTTTCTCTTCTGTTGTCTTCGAGGTTTTTCCTTCCGATGATGATGGAACGTTGCCAGTTGGTACAGTCTTCTTGCACATGTGCTTCAAATGATTTAGGCTCAAGTCGAATGGCTTTCAGTGCTGTTTTGAGTTAGTCCTTGTATCTTCGAAGAGGGCAACCCAGTGGTCTTTTCCCCTGAAGTGAACTCAATAGGAATTGATGTAGAAAACTTGACTCTTCCATTCTTGCTATATATCCTGATCACCGAAGACGTTGTCTAATGATCAGCGATTCGAGGCTTTGATTATTGGCTCTTTTCAGGACTTTGGTGTCGGCCACATAGCAATTTTAATTGTGCCGCTTTCACGTCCTTTTCTGAGATGCACTTGTTTGATAAAAGGCTGACTAGACATGGAAAATGCTTTACATGTTCTAGAGGTCTATCAAAGAAGGTAATGTAAAAATCACGTAAGATAGTATTTGGGACTGGCTGTGCATTGACCTTGGTTTTCTGCTTTTGAAAGTAGTCTAATGGAAATCCAAAACAATATTACAAAAATCTTTAATTAATTTAACTAGGAATTACAATTGCTATAAAGAGAACAAAACAATAAAAATCAAAGCTAATGTCCTCATCTATGTAGTCATATTTATTATAACGTTTCGGCCTATGTACGCTCCGGCATTCTTCAGGTGGTTGGAATGTTGAATTGAGCCCTTTATTTCGCTCACTGGGGCAGACTCTTCTAGTTCTAAGTGCCATGTTTTAATGGATGTCAGTTGTAAGTTATCTCCTGTTAATTTCCCTTTCCAAGTTCTCCACTGCTTTAAACGGTCCTGGATAAAGGCGTTAGTTAGATCAAGTTCCAATCACCTGAAGAAGGCCGGAGCGTACAACGTCCGAAACTCTGTAATAAATATGGCGACAAAGATGAAGGCAATAGTCCGAATAATGTAAATAGTGTACATGATAGCTCATATAGACAGATACTGAAAAACAAAGCGTGTATATATTTCGGAAAGACTTCCTGAATTGCATTTAGAATCACTTTCGAGTAAGAAGCACTAACAACTTTTCTACGTCTTTTGATAATTTAAATCGCTATTTAAGCAGCAGGGCATCTCTACAGGGACATATTGTTTATCACTAGATATGTGTCGATCCGAGGAAAACGCAAGAACGAAAATTTAAAAAAAAGGATTCAAGTAAACGTCACTCTTCTATTTTCTTTCTTTCTTTTCGACTTTGTTTTAGTGAGATCTTAAAATCAGGCATTTCTGCACTTCCTTCAAAAATAGGCGTGAAGGGATAACATGGCTAAAAGCCGTAGGAATTCCATTTTGGTATGAGTTAAGTGGTCGAGCACAGAAAAAAAAACTATCATTAATATACACGAGGATGCCTACTGAGGCTAATTCACTCAAATGCTTTGCGAAAAGGCATGAATTAAAAACTTTGACGCATGAAGCGAGGGCAGATAAGATGCGGTTTGCAAGAGGCTGAACGAGACAACATAAATATAAATCCACGTACACATATGTACATCTACGCACACATATATACATATCTGCATGACTAAAAGAAATAAAAAAGCATCATTTATTTTACATAACGAGATAAAGCACAGGCAATTTTTAGCAAAAAATGTTTTTCTCAGTTTGTGCATATCTATCTATCTATCTATCTATGTATATATATATATATATATATATATATATATATATATATGTGTGTGTGTGTGTGTGTGTGTGTGTGTCTTCTTTCGTCTCCACTCCCGTTCATATCTCATCCAATATCCTCATGTATGCATGGATCTATCTATCTATCTATCTATCTATCTATCTATCTATCTATCTATCTATCTATCTATCTATATTAGTCTGTATTTTCGTTCATATCTCATCCAATCTCCTCATGTATGTATGTATGTATGTATCTATCTATCTATCTATCTATCTATCTTAGTCTGCATTTTCGTTCATATCCCATCCAATCAACTCATGTATGGATGCATGTATGTATGTATGTATGTATATATCTATCTATCTATATATATATATCTATCAATCTTAGTCTGCATTTTCGTTCATATCTCATTCAATCTATCTATCTATCTATCTATCTATCTATCTATCTATCTATCAATCTATCTATCTATTTTCGTTTGCATTTTCGTTCATATCTCATCCAATCTATCTATCCTCATCTATCTATCTATCTTAGTCTCATTTTCGATCATATCATCCAATCTATCTATCTATCTATCTATCTATCTATCTATCTATCTATCTATCTATCTTCGTTGTGCATTTTCGTTCATATCTCATCCAATCTCCTCCTCATCTATCTATCTATCTATCTATCTATCTATCTATCTATCTATCTATCTATCAGTCTGCATTTTCGTTCATATCTCATCCAATCTCCTCATCTATCTATCTATCTATCTATCTATCTATCTATCTATCTATCTATCTATCTATCTATCTATCTTATTCTGCTTTTTGTCTATCCAGCAGCTACCAAATGACAAGACGCCTTCAAAGCCTGACTCATCAGATGTAACAAGTAAGTACAATTTAGTATTTGCTATTGCACATGACATGGAACACTCATCAGCAGGCAGCTTAGGTTTAAGGTTTCAAGTTCTCCACACAGATTTATTTCATGGAACAATAGCCTAGTGCATTAATGGTGCTTCGCGAATTTGGTAATATGATAATTATGAGTTCAATACCTGGGCTGAGCAGTATGTACTTGAACTCAATAGAAACGTGGAGAGCAATAATTGATAAGCACTAAAATATGAACTAGGCGAGATATCTCTAGACATGTTCAGTGGAACGAGAAGAGTCACCCCTGTAGGTTAAATAAAGGATTCAGTTCATTATTCACCGTGCATTACCATAATAAACATAACGAAGGTGGGAGCACACAACGGTCGAAGGTTTATTGCAACAACAGCAAAGATGAGGACAATAGTTCTAAGGTAAATCATGATAAATACTCATCTTAGAAATTGTGACAGTAAATAGCTAAAAATACAGGGTGTCCCCCGCAAACGTTGACAGCTTTTAAAATGTTAATATTTGAGTAACTACATGATCCAGCCAAACGGGATTAAATAGGCTTCCTGTTGAACAATAAAATATTTATTTGTCCAAATTAAAACGAGAAATTCAAATGGATGTACAGTTTTATAACCGATTTATATATAAGAAGTTTAAATAGTGGGTTTGAAAACATCACGGGAAAAAAGCTGTGAGAAGGGCACAAAATCTTAAGGGAAGAATAATTTAGCATTTTGCAGGTCTTTTAATGCAATTTCACTAATATGTAGATCCTGTGATAAACGTATATGTATGTATAAGACTACTTTCAGAAGCAGTAACGGATGTAGTTTATTGTTTGCTAATTCCTATAGGTTGGCAAATCTTGTACTCGTTCAAATTAGCCTATTTTGAAGGAAAAGATGAAAACGCCGTCATCGTTTAAGCCACTCTCTTTGTGTTCAAATTGATAGAAATTTATATGATATATCGCAAATAGAAATTTACGTGATAAGTCGCAAATCTTTATCTCGCGATATATATATATATATATATATATATATATATATATATATATATCCACTATTGATAAATTTATGCATGATTGCCATTTGGAGCACCATTTATAGTTTATCTGTATGACTTCAATTCCTTAAAGAAACGATAGGGAAGCAAAACCGAAAGTGAAAGTTGTTGGTTTTGCGTAGCAATCAATTTTTGGAGAAAGGCGCCAAATGAGTTTTTTTTTTATTCTCCCGCCTTTCACCCGCCTTTTTACCCGAACGTAAATTATCAACCCAGCATGGACCCTTAAATCATACATCAAGTGTTGACTGCCCGAAGTGCTGTGTAGGCGAGAAAATGGGAACACGTCGCTAGATTCAGAATAGAACGCTTAAGCTGGATAAGAAAAAGACGGAAATGGGTTTTTTGTATCTGGGTTGGGTGGTAACATCTCCATATTTTTCAGTAGAAGCGGACAGAATAATCATGGGCAAGACAAGATGGTTGCGTCCGAGAGGAGGGGATTTAATGGGGTAAAGAAAGAATAAAATCAGAAAATATATTTGAAAAGGTGGATGAATCTGCAAGAGACATGAATGAGGAAAAACGGAAGTGGATCTGGTATTTTATGGGATTGTTATATGTAATAGCCAAGAGAGAAATATAGCGCAGTTATATATTTGTATACCAAATATTATATATATATATATATATATATATATATATATATATATATATATTAACAGAGAGAGGAAGAGAGAATGAGAAGGATAGATAGAGAGAGAAGAATGTACAAACACGCTCAGATAACCTAGGAAGAAAGAAAGAAAGAAAAATAGAAATTTATTATCTATATTAAAGGGTTCCCATAATAATAATTATATATTCTATATCTCTCTAAATATTTATTGCTTGTGTGTGTGTATGTATATATATATATATATATATATATATATATATATATATATATATGTGTGTGTGTGTGTGTGTGTGTTTGTCTGTCTGTGTATATGCTAGATATTAAAAATAGACCAAGAAGAGAATTTTATCTTCTGACATCTAGTTTCGCAGATACACTTTTCGAAACGTCATTGTAAGATGAATGTATTGAATTTGTAAGTGATATATTTATTATGCATCTAAATACTCAACATAAAAACATCCAATCATAAACTTCATCTAAATTTCATAAGCGTTCTATAGAAAAAAAATACTTTATAACATGACAATATGTAAATATTTAAAACGTCGTAACGTAACAATATTTAAGCTGTTGATCTCATACACACACACACACACACACACAAAGACACACACACACATATATATATATATATATATATATATATATATGTTAATAAGTATACACATTATCCCTCACCGCTAGCACGGCTTTTAGTGCTAGCAATGTGGGTAATATGTATATATATATTTATTAATATATACTTAATAGCTCTGTTGTATTACATCCAGCACTGTTTTATTAACCTGCACTATGTACGATATATACATATATATATATATATATATATATATATATATATATATATATATATATATATATATATATATATATATATATATGCATAATACGCATCTACAAATTTTGTCAAAACAAAAAAAAAATTACGAAGACATTTTGTTGACCTTGACCTTGAGAATAAAATAGAAACTAGGCGGCTAAAGTAATGCTGAAAATTACCATCTGCTTTCCCCCATAAATGTCAGTGAGTATGTTACAAAGAGATGTTTCAAGAAGTGTTGTCTTACGACAGCCATGGATGGCTTTGAAGATGATATCCTTTGGGAAGAGAATGAAGAGTCCGAAGACAATTTTGAACATGACAAAGATAATATTGTGAATGATAATTTGTTAAATGACAATTTAAACACTGATTCTATAATAGAAAGTGATGGTGATGATGATGATGATGATAAAAATTAAAATTTCAGTAAATTGTTAACTTGATATCCGCTTTTCTTCGAAATTGTCTTTTCTATCGATTTTCTTTTAATTTTTCACCAAATAAAAATGTGTTTACTGATAAATATAAATTTATTAACAGAAAATGTTAAAATTTGTATTGTTTGCATTAAAATGAAAATTGGGATAATATTTTTCTTATTTTAGAACAAGTACGTATTTATTATTATAAATCAATAACGAAAAAAAAAAATTTTTAAACCTATTTATAATACGCACCCCTACTATCACCAGTAATTTACGGTAAAAAATGCACATTATTTTCGAGAAATTATGGTATATATATATATATATATATATATATATATATATATATAAGGAATACTGACGATCCACGTAGGTGAATCCTTGGTAGGTTTATGTGGCTCTTTCGGTTTAATTAGGTTTGCTCTACTTAGCGTATTGAGCACTTAGTTATTTTACTTACTCATATCGGGTTTTTTTTCTTCGGTCTCTGAACTTGGATGGTAGATGATTGTCTTCGGCTGACTTAGGTTCTCTGTGCTTTCTTTTTTGTACCTTTTTTTCCCTTGAATATTGGTTTGTTTATTTACATATTAAAGTACCCTTATATTTATAAGAATATTACTATTATATATATATATATATATATATATATATATATATATATATATATATATATATATATATATATGTGTGTGTGTGTGTGTGTATACGCACACGTCGGTATATCAATAATACACCACCAAACGAGAGAAAACGTACACAATACAGTAAATAAATACTTGTTCGTTAGAATCTCCTTCCTTGTTAGTATATTACACTCAGTTCTGAATTTTCACGTAGTTCGTAAATACTATAGGGAATATATCAGATAAAACAGCTGCTGATAACTAAGTCAACTTCTTACCTATATATGAAAACCGAATTATAAAAATAAAAAGTCACATTTCTTCAGGACATAGGCGATCATATCTTTCCCCAGGATCCATTTAATAAATATAAAAATAATGATCAATTTCTATTTACATTTATTAACACTCACATATCTTTCTGAAATTACGGGTCTATGTGCTCCCCAAGCTATGGGTTAAATGTTAGGACTCGTAACTGAAAAAAATATTAATAGAATAAAAAATAAATAAAATAAAATAAAATTCGTCCTATAGTCCAAAATATGTTTCGGTTTTAAATAACATACACAGGGTTGTTAGTCCATAAAAAACAAAAAAAAAGCAAATGATCTCCATAGTCTTGAATACAGAATTTTCTTTCACGTAGACTGGCTGCCATCTAAGCTTAGATGGCTCAGTGTTTTTTCAGAGTTTCACATTAAATAATAATTTAGTTTATTTGTAACCCAGAAATACTGCTTGTACTGACCAGTTTGACGCTTGGCGGTATCTTTTATATTTTTAACTTTGCAGGTTTGAATACTAAGACTTGGTCATTACTGACATATTGTCCCTGTGGTGATAATCTCACAGAGACTCCTTACAGTGTAAGCAGTTTATACTTATCTATGTGAGTTGTGAATCGTGTACGTTTCCAGGTTTTCCTTATCATAATAGTTTCTTTCTTTCCAAGTCAATCTTGCATTCTTCGATTCACATGAGCTGCACATATACAAGCAATGGATATTTAAGTATTCTACTATTAGTAAACAATATCCCTGCCGAAGACAATATAATTCCTGATGATGTAGGTTGGGGAGAGCTATGCTGATGGAATAGATATTCATATTTGGAATACAAATAATCTTGAACCAAAAATCAGTATCCTTTACCGAGTGTTCCCAGAAATAGTCTCAAGATGTATCTCTTAAAAACTGAAATTATGATCTGGAATTGAAACGAAACTGTTATTGCACATACGCATTCCTTGTTTCCTGTTCAAGACCAGTTTTCCGGTTCCTTCTAAAGTCTATTTCACCTCTATACTTCGAACGGCTTCGTCTAAACTCTGCAATTTTATTTACCATTTTCCCCTCAATAGGAGTAGATAGATTTGCCTATCATCCGGTTCACACTT